CAGCTGCTGCAGCAATAATAGCCACTGTGACTAAACAGGCTAGGTTGTCAGTAGATGTAATACCTAACCCTGTTTCCTTTCCAGGTACTAACAGTCAAACAAACAATAGTTGTGTTAGAAAACCTATTGCCTATGCTGTCACTTCACTTTCGGGTGAAGGAGGCGCAACGTGTTCCTCTGTTTTTTTCATTTCAGCCCAAGGCTAAAATAGCCCCAGCAGCCACTAGTTTCCAGGATCCAGACCTGAAAGGGTTACCTGATGAGATGATGACCACTAGTTCCCGCTTGACAGTTCAAGATAGTCCTAAGAAGGATGGGCCTGTGGGTAGGACTAAACATTCCTCAGTACAGGTAGAAACTACTGCTGTGACAGGTAACGTATGGAAAACGGGTGATATGTTGACACATTCTAACGTCTTATGTGAATTAGAAGAACATGAAGGAAGGTACTACATGTCTGTAGAAATACAGGATTCGTTACCCCAGCCTTTCAAAGGGTTAATAGATACTGGTTCACAAGCCACTATCTTATCCAATACCTACTTCCAGCAGGTAATGGACTTAGCAGCAGATAAGCCGAAGCTAAGAGATTTCCCCAATGCTCTGTTGAGTGTAGGAGGAAATGCCCTTCATGTTATTGGCAATACCTGGTTAAAATTTAAAATAGGTAACAAAACCTTTAGACACCTGGTGATAGTGGCAGATCTCCCCTATGACCGACTGATTCTGGGTATAGACATACTCAGAAGACTTAACACAACTGTGTAAATGGAATTGTATGGTCACGAGCTAAGGTTCCTATAACCTATGAGAAATCACATGTTCAATCTGATCATAACTGCCATGTGATAGAAGAAAGACCTGACTCGACATTTTAGGAATAGTCAGTCACCTGACGTGACTATCCTGCAGGTGAATGATGCAATCGCACCTGTAGATGAGCATTCCATAAGAGTTGCTCCAGAGAGGATCCAGAATGTCTCTCTAGAAGGTGATGTTTTAACCATTTCTCTCCACAGGGACAATGTTGAATCTGTAGATCTGGCAGGTCATGCTCAATTCCTTGCCAGAATTGAAAGGGTTAATAACAACTTATTCTTTCCTATGCAAATAAATGACTTAGGAAGAAGTAGGAATGCAAAGCTGGACTTAGAGTGAGAACAGCGATATTAGCAGAAGTCTGTTAAAGCAGATCGCTAATCCTAAAATGATCAGGTACGCTTCCCCACATGACAGGTGGATCCAGAACCTGGATGGTGAATCAGAGAGTCACAACATGATAGCAAAATGTTTACTATCTATTTCCATCGGAAATAAGAAAGTTAAACATTTATTCCTCGCTATCAGGTTTACATCGGCAATGATGTCATACATCGCTTTGCCATACACCTTGACCTGATTAATTCCAACTTGTGGACAAGGTTAAAAGGTAATCCTTGTGGTTACCTACATGAGGAAAACACCCTGAAATCAGGACAAATACTCCCATATGCGGTAAGTATCCAAATACCTGATGACATAACCATTCCACAGGGGACAAGTAACTTTCTTTTACTCCTACAGGTCAAGAAGGGTCAGAGATTGGAAAACTCTGATGCCCTAATCTGTTTATCCAACAGGATACAACAATTAGGGATGGTGGTAACACATACACCAATGGTAAGTATTGGTAAGAATCCCACCTATATAATGGTCAATAGTGTTACTTTACCAAAAGGAACATTATTAGGTCTAGCATTGGATGCTGAGTACTATACATTTGTTTTCCAATACCAAATTATAGGCCTCATCCCTGAAGAATACTTAACCCCTTAATGACCAAACTTCTGGAATAAAAGGGAATCATGACATGTCACACATGTCATGTGTCCTTAAGGGGTTAACTGAGGATGAAATTATCGATCAAATATTCCATTCCTCCCCAGGATTATTCACTATCCTATCTGTGTATCCATTCAACGTCGAAGAAGGCTCGTGTAAAATCGAAGAAGCCTCAATCACCTTCGATCATCCGCTCAATGAGCAGGAATCACAAGAGTATCACGACCAAAGAGAAAAGGTAAGTCAACAACGAACTGACCTAACTTCTAGGCTTGAAGAAGCTTATGAGATAGGCCAAATACAGGGTTGGGTGAAGTGTAGTGGTATCTGGATGCAGGCAAGCCACTGTAAAAGGTCACTCAAACCTTAAAACATACAATATGAAGAAAGGTTAACAAATTTAAACCTATTTAGTTTAGAAAAACGTCGCCTGAGAGGGGATATGATAACATTATACAAATATATTCGGGGCCAATACAAACCATTGTGTGGAAATCTATTCACAAACCTGACTTTACATAGGACACGAGGCCATGCGTTTAGACTGGAAGAAAGAAGATTTCACCTAAGGCAAAGGAAAGGTTTTTTTACTGTAAGAACAATCAGGATGTGGAATTCTCTGCCTGAGGAAGTGGTTTTATCAGAGTCCATACAGATGTTCAAACGGCTACTAGATGCATACTCGCAAGAACAGAATATTCAAGGATATAATCTTTCAATGTAGGGTAATAACTGCTTGATCCAAGGATAAATCTGACTGCCATTCTGGGGTCAAGAAGGAATTTTTTTCCTAGCTTGTTGCAAAATTGTGCTTCAAACTGGGTTTTTTTGCCTTCTTTTGGATCAACAGCAAAAAACAAATGTGAGGAAGGCTGAACTTGATGGACGCAAGTCTCTTTTCAGCTATGTATGTAACTATGTAATAGAAAGAAAGAAATACAAGGCGCCAAAATCACCAGATAAATAAACAAAGAAGATGAAGATAATACTGTTTATTTAACCCCTTAAGACCGGAGGGCGTACTATTACGCCCTCTAATAGGCGGCTCTAAACGCCGCCGGGCGTAATAGTACGCCCTCCGGTCTTTCCTTACTTACCCGGTCGCCGGCGGTCCCACGGGAGCCCCCCGCGGCACGACCGTCTTCCAGGAAGCCCCCCGGCCGTGTGAGAGTGGGGTCCTAGCGAGGACCCCACAATCACATGGCCGGGGATAGCTGGCTTCTGTATTGCCAGCAGGGGGGCTGCCTGTAATGACAGGTGGTCCCCCTGCTGGCTGAAAATAAAATGAAAATAAAATAGTGTAAAAAAATAAATAATATATACTTAGATCATATATATATATTATATATATATGATCAAAGTATATATATACACATATACATACACACATGTACACCGTCTAGGTGTATTTTACTATTAATATATATATAATTATATATATATATTAATATCAAATTACACGTATACTGATACTGATTAAATATATATATAATGATTGTTATATATATATTTATATATATTATAAAAAAAATTAAAATGTAAATACGTTAAAAAATAAAATTACAAAAATAATTAAAAATAAATAATTAAAAATATATAGATGTGTGTTATTTCGTTCTAACTGTATTGTGAAATTAATATATATATATATATATCAAAAAACACATAGAACGAAATAATATATATATTTATACACATAAATATATACGTATATATCACTATATATATACCTATATATAAATAAAAATATTTAAAAAAAATATATAGATATATACATATATATACACATACGTATATATATACATATATTAATTCTGCATATATATTTATGTAATATTTTTACATAATTAGGTATCTTAATTAATTACAATTAGCAGGACCTGCCTGACAACCCATGCCGAAAGTAAAGGGAATTTAATTTGCTAGCACTATATTTAACCCTATAATTTTCCGAGACACCATAAAACCTGTACATGGGGGGTACTGTTCTACTCGGGAGACTTCGCTGAACACAAATATTAGTGTTTCAAAACAGTAAAATGTATTACAACGATGATATCGCCAGTAAAAGTGACGTTTTTTGCATTTTTCACGCACAAACAGCACTTACACGGACGATATTATTGCTGCGATACTTTTTACTGTTTTGAAACACAAATATTTGTGTTCAGTGAAGTCTCCTGAGTACAACAGTACCCCTCATGTACAGGTTTTATGGTGTTTTCAAAAGTTACAGCGTCAAATATAAGGCTTGCGTTTCATTTTTTTCACATTAAAATTCGCCAGATTGGTTACGTTGCCTTTGAGACCCTATGGTAGCCCAAGAATGAAAATTACCCCTATGATGGCATACCTTTTGCAATAGTAGACAACCTAAGGTATTGCAAACAGGGTATGTCCAGTCTTTTTTAGTAGCCACTTAGTCACAAACACTGGCCAAAATTGGCGTTTTTTGCATTTTTCACACACAAACAAATACTAACGCTAACTTTGGCCAGTGGTTGTGACCAAATGGCTACTAAAAAAGACTGGACATACCCCATTTGCAATACCTTGGGTTGTCTACTATTGCAAATGGTATGCCATTATGGGTGTAAATTTAATTCCTGGCTACTATAAAGTCCCAAAGGCAACGTAACCTATCTGGCGAATTTCAATTTCAAATGTAACGTGCTATATTTGACCCTGTAACTTCCCAAAACGCCATAAATCCTGTACATAGGGGGTACTGTTTTACACGTGAGACTTTGCTGAATAAAAATATGTGTATTTTATTGCAGTAAAAGCAAACAGTATTATGACATTGACAGTTAAAATGTCATGTAGAACTAAAAAAATAAAAAAAATCTTATCTCCCATTTTTTTCATATTAAATTATGTTTCACATCTAAATATTTGATATTAAATGAAAGCCCTGTTTCCCCTGAATAAAATGATATATAATAAGGGTGGGTGCATTTACTATGAAAGAGGTGTATTACGGTTGGACAGACATGTAGCGCAAATGCCAGGTTTGTTTACATTTTGTTTCGTTCACAACGTGTACATTTGGCTCCG